AGGAGGCTGAGGCAGGAGAATTGCCTGAACCCAGGAGGCGGAGGTTGTGGTGAGCCAAGATTGCGCCATTGCACTCCAGCCTGGGTAACAAGAGCAAAACTCTGTCTCAAAAAAAAAAAAAAAAAGAGAGAGAATATGAGTAAGTTCCAACAGGATAAACAGAAATCATTTATTAGGAGTATCATTTTAAACCTAAATATATCAGTAAGTATACAAAATGTAAATGTACTAAATGTTCAAATTAAAGAACAAACATGGTCAAACTAGTTTTTTAAAAACTAATATATGCAACTTACAAGATATAGCTAAAACTCAAAAGCTGAAAGAATGGAAAAAGCTATATCATGCAAACACCAAATGAAAGTTAGTGTATCTGTCTTAACACTAGATTAAGAACACCATAAGGTAAAATGCAATCCTGAGATAAAGAGGGACATGTCACAGTAATAAAAAGTTTCATTTACCAGGTAGATTTAAAAAATCCTTGACTTCTCAGCACTTGTAACATAATCAAAATATATAAAACAGAAACTGACAGAAATTAAACAGAGAAACAGACAAATTTTATAATCATTTGGGGATATTTTAACAAATCTTTGTCTAAGTAGGAGCAAACAAATGCAAAAGCAGTAACAACTTGAAAAAGAAACGTGATAGAACATATTACACCACATCTAACAACTGTAGCCTACAAATATTTTATTATTGTTGTAGACAAGAAATATTTGCCCAAAAAGACTATATGTTGAACCATAAAGCAAGTCTCAAATGTTCAAGAACTGGAGTCTTATGAATTTAAATCTTACTACCATGGAGTCAAATTAGACATCAGGGTCAAGCATGGTGGCTCACACCTATAATTCCAGCTACTGGGGGGGCTGAGGCATGAGGAATTGCTTTAACTCAGGAGGCAGAAGTTGCAGCGAGCCAAGATGGTGACACTGCACTCCAGCCTGAGCAACACAGCAAGACTGTCTCAGAAAGGAAAGGGAAGGGGAAAGGGAAGCGGGAAGGGGAAGGGGAAGGGCAAGGGGGGGGAAGGGGAGGGAAGGGAAAGAGAGGGGGAAAGAGAGGGGGAAGGGGAGGGGGAAGGGGAGGGGAGGGGAGGGAGGAAGCACGCACACAAAGGGACAAAGGGGTCAGTAGTGACAAACTTTACTGAAGTAAGGAAATTGTATCAAATGGTAAATAAAATGAAGAGACAAGTCAGTACAACAAACTATAAAATGTATGTATCTTCCTTATCTCAGTTTCATCAAAAAATATAAAATTGTATTTAAAAAAAGTAACAACGTATTTTGAGGTCTGTCACATATAGCAATAAGCATAATAAAAAAAAAGAGAGGATAGGCTGGGCACGGTGGCTTATACCTGTAATCCCAGTACTTTGGGAGGCCAAGGTGGAAGGATCACTTGAGGTAAGGTCAGGAATTCAACACCAGCCCAGTCAACATGGTGAAACCCCATCTCTACTAAAATACAAAAAATTAGTTAGGCGTGGTGGCACATGTCTGTAGTCTCAGTTACTCGGGAGGCTGAGGCTTGGTTAAACCCAGGAGGTGGGGGTTGTGGTGAGCTGAGATCACACCACTGCACTCCAGACTGGGTGACAGAGTGACACTCTGTCTCAAAATAAATAAATAAATAAGGAGGATGGAATAGAGCTACGCAGGACTAAAGTTTCTGTATATCGCTGGAATTAATGTAACTATGAAGTAGACTCTAATAAGCTAAGATATATATATGTAAACCATACAGTAATCACTAATAATTCAAATACAGTTTTAAAATGATTAAAGAAATTAAAATGTTACACTGGGAAATATTCATGTAATGCAAAAGTAGTAGAGGAGGGAAAGAGGACAAAAGAGAAATGAGACATATAGAAAACAAAAAAGAAAAATGACAGACAAATCCAACCCTATCAATGACACCAAATGTAAATGGATTAAATAATACACTCAAGAGGCAGAGATGCCGGGCGCGGTGGCTCAAGCCTGTAATCCCAGCACTTTGGGAGGCCGAGGCGGGTGGATCACGAGGTCAAGAGATCGAGACCATCTTGGTCAACACGGTGAAACCCCGTCTCTACTAAAACTACAAAAAATTAGCTGGGCATGGTGGTGCGTGCCTGTACTCCCAGCTACTCAGGAGGCTGAGGCAGGAGAATTGCCTGAACCCAGGAGGCGGAGGTTGCGGTGAGCCGAGATCACGCCATTGCACCCCAGCCTGGGTAACAAGAGCGAAACTCTGTCCCAAAAAAAAAAAAAAATAAATAAATAAATAAATAAAGGCAGAGATTACCAGATTGGATTTTAAAAGAATCAGATCCAATTAAATACTGTCTACTCAAGACATACTTTAGATTCAAAAATACAAACAGGACAGGATAAGAGTAAACAGGTGGAAAAAAACATACCATGCAAAAGAGCTGGAATGAATATACTAATAACTTTTAAGAACTGTTTTATATCTTGAGAGGTAAAGAGAAACATTTTAAAACAATTAAGGGTCAACTTATTAGGAAGATATAATAATTATAATCATATGTACTTTATGACAGAGTCCCAAATTACATGAAGCAAATCTGACAGAATTAAAGGAAGAAATAGACAGGCCAACAACAATAGTTGGGAGAGTTAAATACCCCACTTTGAATAATGAATAGAACAACTAGGCAGAAGATCAGTAAGGAAATAGAATCAATCAATCAACTAGATGGAACAAACATCTAGAGAACATTCTGCCCAATAACACAATAGACATTTTTCTAAAAAACCACACATGGAACATTCTCCAGGATAGACTATCTATGCTAAACCATAAAACAAACATCGACAAATTAAAAAGGACTGAAAGGATACAAAGTATATTCTCTGACCACAATAGAATTAAATTAGAACTCAATAACAGAAAAAAAAAATTTTTGAAACTCACAAATATGTAGAAATTAACATATTCCTAAACGAGTCAAAAGAAATAAAAAGAAAAATTAGAATATACTTGGGATGAATAAAAACAAAACACAACATATCAAACCTTATGAAATGAACTAAATCAGTGCTTAGAGGGAAATTTACAGCTACAATGTCTTTTTAATAAAAAGAGAAAACACAGGAAAACATTTTTATGAACTTGAGATAAAAAAAGGTTTCTTACATACCATAAAGAGAAGACAAAAGCAGACCACAGAATAGGGGGGAAAGTTTTAATAAAAAAATAAGACTTCTCATCCAAAATACAAAAAGAATGCCTTCAAACATGGTTTTTAAAAGACAAATACAAAAGACAAATCAGCAAAAGATTTGAACAAGCACTTCACAAAGGATAACCAAAAGGCCAATAAACTTTATTTAAAAAGTGTTAAACATCCTTAGTCATCAGGTAAATGAAAAGAAAAACCACAAAGAGATTCCATCTCACAGCCAGGCACGGTGGCTCATACCTAATAATCCCAGCACTCTGGGAGGCCGAGGTGGGCAGATCACTTGAGACCAGAAATTCAAGACTAGCCTGGCCAGCAAGGTGAAGTCCCATCTCTACCAAAAATACAAAAATTAGCCAGGCTCACGTGATGATGCAAGCCTGTAGTCCCAGCTAATGGGGAGGGTGATGCAGGAGAATCTTTTGAATCCAGAAGGCGGAGGTTGCAGTGAGCTGAGATCAAGCCACTGCGACAGAGACACCATCTCAAAGGCGAGGGGCGGGGGGGGGGGGGGGATCATCTCACATCAATCAAAGTAGCTAAAATGAATACTGACAATTCGAATTATAGGGATGTTAAACAATGGAAAATGTCATACACTGTGAGAATGTAAACTTGTAGAACCGCTTTGAAAAATTAGCAACATCCACTAACGGCGGACACACATAACCTATTACCCAGTAAATTTACTGTTAGGTATATACTCAACAAACATAATGTATGAAGAGACAAGTATAAACATGTTCTTAATAGCATCGTTAATATTTTGTCAAGTGTAAACAATCCAAATGTCAATCAACAAAGTATAAAATGTAGTACATTCACACAAAGTAATATCATAATGCAATGAAAATTAAATTAGTTTCAGGAAATAAGTGGATGAATCTTACAAACATTATGTGGGACAAAAGCAGCTAGACACAAATATACACTGTGTGGATCCATTTATATAAAACTCAAAAACAGGCATAACTAAGTCAAAATAATGGTTACTCTGGGGACCATGGAGAAGGTAGTGACTGATAGGGAAAGAGAGTTTTTGAAGTGCTGGCAATATTCTATTTCTCGTCTCAGTGGTAGTTACACAGGTCAGAGTTTATAGTAACTTACTGAGCACTACTTTGTGCGCCTTTTCTGTATGTGTTATGCTTCCATATGAAAGATAAAACACCATACAAAACTTAGAAATAAAATCAGTAGAATTACACTAAAATTAGAGTACTTGAACTTCAGAGGGCAATAACTTTTAAAGACTTATACACATTAAAGTATCATAAAAAGCCAGGCATGATGAAGTGTGCCTGTAGTCCTAGCTTTTCAGGAGGCAGAGGTGGGAGGATCACTTGAGCCCAGGAGTTTCAGGCTGCAGTGAGCTATGATTGCACCACTCTACTTCAGCCAGGACAACAGAGTGAGACTCCGTCTCTAAAAACAAAACAGAACAAAGCAACATAAGAATGTGATCCAGGCGGGGTGCAGTGGCTCACACCTGTAATCCCAGCACTTTGGGAGGCCGAGGCAGAAGGATCACAAAGTCAGGAGTTCAAGACCAGCCTGGCCAACATAGTGAAACCCCATCTCTACTAAAAATACAAAAATTAGCTGAGCATGGTCACAGGCGCCTGTATTCCCAGCTACTTGGGAGGCTGAGGCAGGAGAATCACTTGAACCCGGGAGGCGGAGGTTGCAGTGAGCCAAGACCATGCCACTGCACTCCAGCCTGGGCTACAAAGTGAGACTCTGTCCCAAAAAAAAAGAATGTGATCCTTTTGTAGTTCCTAAGTCTGATGACTGGTGCTCACACATGTGAGATGTGCCTCTCTCACACCTTGTTATGACATCGGCATATTACCTGTCTGACAAGAAAATAGATAAATAAAATGCAAAGAAAAAGTGGTACTGAATTCAATAAAAGCATCAAACTTTATACAATGGAAAATATTCAAATATATAAAAGAAAAAGCATGATGACAGAAATAGTTCATCATATGTAACAAGAATTAACATCAGTATCATATATTCTCTTAAGACACAGATGTCAAGAAAAATTGGCTTTGGGCTTTTGACACAAATATTAAGTTCAATCTCACTACCAATCAAGACATACCAACTGGCTGGGCATGATGGCTCACACCTGTAATCCCAGCACTTTGGGAGGCCGAGATGGGTAGATCACCTGAGGTCAGGAGTTTGAGACCAGCCTGGCCAACATGGTGACACCCCATCTCTATTAAAAATAAATAAAAAAAAAAAAACCTGGCGTGGTGGCTCATGCCTATAATCCCAGCACTTTGGGAGGCCGAGGCGGGTGGATCACCAGGTCAAGAGATCGAGACCATCCTGGTCAACATGGTGAAACCCCATCTCTACAAAAAAAAAAAAAAAGACATACCAACTGAAACAAGATACCATTTAAGAGCAGTTAAACTGGAAGAAAACTGTATAACTCCCTTCTCTAGGGAGTACTTTGCTCATAACCTCTGTGACAGAAATACAATTTCCTTGCTTCCCACTTCTCCTTTTTAGAAAACTTTATTTTGCAGCACTGGAAACAATTGCTCAATGATCCACAAGAGAACAATGCTACTGTGGTTCCTGAATTTCCAGTTTCTACTTCAGTCTCCTTAAGGCCTTACTGGATTCTAAGGGATACCCAGCTCTATAAGCTTCTACTACTAATAAATCTGTTTTGCTTAAGTTAATTTCTAGCAGCCAAATGGCCAATGAATATAACACCTTGATACAGCTTATCTTGGAAGTTGAAAGCTGGTAACTTGGTTTGTTTTATCTAACCCACAAGGTGTTCTTCAAAAGTATAAATTAAATGTTAGAAATTATCCTTCCTTACTAGACTGTGACCAAGCTCCTAGAAGGCAAGAACTAACTTCATCTTATGTATCCTTGTTTCCTCATTATGAGGCTCCAGGTCCACAAATACTTGCTGAATGAACAAACTATGCCAATAAGGTTTCTATAAGACTACAACTCTGACAATTGATTCATCTGCGTATAATAATACACTAAAATCCTACTTATCCCATTTAGAAAACAACAGTGACAATATAGATTGAATGACATAAAAATACCCCCTTTGCCCAGTAAGCCAAACCTTAGAAATGTTTAAAAAAAAAAAAAAAAAAAGCAATTCATGCTTGTGATCATAGCACAGTACAGCCTTGAACTTCTGGGCTCAAATGATCCTCCTGCCTCAGCCTCCCAAGTAGCTGGGACTACAGGCATGCACCATTGTAACTGGCTTATGTTTCAACTATTACTATTATGTGTGGATATAATGATACTTCAGAATTTAAATGTTTACTGGTCTAGGAAGAAAATTCTTGAATGAAAAAAAAAAGAATTTAAACGTTTTCCTCTCCGTTTACGTGGCAAAGAAAAGGGAACAAGTACCACCCAAATAAATGTTCTTTATAGCCAGAGCATGCTTGACTTAGATCGTTTGTTTCTCTGGCCTGTTAAAGAATTGTATCTCACAAATGTAAATTTCAAATGACATCCTAAATTGCTGCTTTCATCATTTTAGTTCCTGTAATTTTCTGTGGCGTGAGAATTGATCACATGTATGAGACATGGTTGTACTATTTAAGCCGGCAAGCAATACATTTGGATTAGCTAGTGTTTACACTTTATCTTGGTATGCAGTCCTGTACTTTTAAAGCACTATATTGCAAATTTTAAAAGGGGCCTATATCGTGTTTTTTGTGTTATTAATACCAAGGAGAGAGAGTGGTTTATGTGCACTAGGTGCCTAATAATGTGTTTACTAGCGGGAATACAGGCAGTGTGGTATAGGGATTAGGGGTGTGGACTTGGGTTGGCATCCTTTTTTTTAATCACTTATCTGTGTCACTTTAGGCATATTATTTGCCACTGTTGCTCTTGGTGGCAAATTTTTTCTTTTGAGAGAAAGGCGAAACAAAAAACAAGCTAATATTATGGAGTCATTCAAAAGTAACTTTTAGGCGATGTTCCATCATTTGTACATGTTCCCATATTGCAGAGTTTTCCTAATTATTTTTTAAGTGAGTGTATACACAAGTCTGGGAGAGGTGGCTCACGTGCAGAATCCCAGCACTTTGGTAGGCCAAGGCAGGCAGATCACCTGAAGTCAGGAGTTCAAAACCAGCCTGACCAACATGGTGAAACTCCTCCCTACCAAAAATACAAAAATTAGCTGGGCGTGATGGCGCACCCTATAGTTCCAGCTACTCAGGAGGCTAAGGTGTAAGAATTGCTTGAACCCTGGAGGCAGAGGTTGCAGTAAGCCAGGATCGTGCCACTGGACTCCAGACTGGCTGACAGGGAGAGACTCTCTCTTCTTAAAAAAAAAAAAAAAAAAAAAAAAAAAGTCTACACATTAAGTTTTGATATGTATATCTCAAAACTTAATCATAGCTGTTGGCCTCATTTCTTCTCACTATATAGTACTGTGGTAAATATTATGCATATAGTCATTTTTAATCCTTTGAATTATTTTATTTACATTTCTAAGATTTGACTTACTGGGAGTAAATAAATTGTATTTCTCACTAGCCTGGACAACACAGCAAGACCCTGTCTCTTAAAAAAAAAAAAAAAAAAGTGGCGGGAAAGCAGCAGCCGGAGAAAAAGAAGAGAAAGAAATGAAAAAAACCATAGTGAGTTGTTAAGGTGCCATACATTTCTCATTTAATTTCACCACCTTGTGAGGTAGTTGCTATTACCATCCCACCCTATCAAAAACAAAATCTACAGATAAGGTATTGAAAGGTTAAGTAGCTTAGTATAATTAAGTGGCAAAACTCTTGGAATTATTATGCTATATTAATTTCCTATGTAATAATGTATTTTACACATGCTACCAACATCCAAAAAGTAAGTATAATGCTGTGAACTAGGTCAGAGAAGTAGGAGACACTGGGAGTAACAATATAGGAGGGGCAGGAGTTTGCAGAGGGGTACCATTTATTAGCCTTTCGGTTTTGTTGTTTAAAACTATACAATAGACTGGGCACAATGGCTCATGCCTGTAATCCCAACACTTTGGGAGGCTGAGGCAGGAGGAGTGGTTGAGCCCAGGAGTTAAAGACCAGCCTGGGCAACATAGGGAGACCTCTCTCTACAAAAACTTTAAAAATTAGCAGGGTGTGGTGGTGTGCACCTGTAGTCCCAGCTACTTGGGAGGCTGAGATGAAAGGGTATGCTTGAGCCTAGGAGTTGGAGGCTGCAGTGAGCCTGATGAAGTCCCAGAGGGGAAGGGAAGAAAAGGGAGCAAGGGAAGGAAGAAGGAAAAAATACTATATAATAAAAATTTTTAAATAATGAGAATAAGGCTGGGCATGGTGGCTCAAGCCTGTAATCCTAGCACTTTGGTAGGCCAAGGCAGGCAGATCACAAAGTCAGGAGATCACAAGGTCAGTAGATCAAGATCATACTGGCCAACAGGGTGAAACCCCATCTCTACTGAAAATACAAAAACGAGCTGGGCGTGATGGCGCATGCCTGTAGTCCCAGCTACTTGGGAGGCTGAGGCAGGAGAATCACTTTAACCCAGGAGGCGGGGGTTGCAGTAAGCCAAGATCAGGCCATTGCACTCCAGCCTGGCGACAGAGCGAGACTCCGTCTCAAAATTTTTAAAAAAATGAGAATAAAAAATAGCCAGAGAAAATATAATGAAACATTTGATAAACTGCATTAGATACTTGCTCAGTATCAAGTTTGCAACCCTATGATTAAATGCAAAGCATGTGTTAATATTTAAGCCCAGTAGAGTATTTCCAGGATGAGTTGAACCCTACCTGGTTCAAAAGTACATGCTCATCTCATGCACTGCTGTTGGTATATGAGCTAAGTACCTTTTTTGAAGTACCTCCTTCAAAAAAATAATTTGGCAACATTTGTCAAAAATCCTAAAATTGTTTTATATTCTGCTCTGATAATTCCATCACTGAAAATCTAATATTTTTAAAAAGAGGCTTTTACTCAGTTACTGTGTCATTATCTATGACAGTAATAAAATTAAAATTAAAAAGATATAACCTAAATTACTCACTAGAGTTTTTTGCTCACCATCATCCCTTCCTCAGGAAAACTACACCTCATCCAATTCATGTCGTCTTAAGGTGACTGTCAATCATGGCTTTCTGTGGGTTCCCCAACTCACCCTAACCACAGCCATAGTGGCTCCCATTGCTGTAGCCCATCTCCCAGGAACTGACAATCAGAATTGATTACCAACAGCCCAGAACTAACATGTGGACATCAGGAAAGAGAAGCTGTCTTTCAAGTGTGGTTGCTACGCTAAAGGTGTATGTCTGGGGCTCCAGAAGCAAGAGGCTAGAAAAACCCAGAAAGGAGACAAAGAAACTCAATGAATGTTACTTGTAATCTTGAATCTAGCTTGTTTCCAAAGCCATTCGATCATCCTTCACATACAATTCCCAGTATATGAACCAATACATTCACTTTTTAACTCAACAAAGTTGTGTTAAGCTGTTATCACGTATAACCAAAAGATTCGTGACTAATATCCTACCTGAATAAGAACATTTAACCAATTATAGCACATCCATTCAAGAAAATAACACTAACAGAGTAGTGTAACTGTTAAGAGCATGCACTCAGCCCAGTCTGAGTCATGGCTTTGCTAAATATTCTCTATGTGTTCCTGGGTACATTACTTTTTTTTTTTTTTTTTTTGACAGGGTCTGTCAACAGGGTCTCACTCTGTTGTCCTGGCTGGAGTATAGTGGTGTAATCATGGCTCACTGCAGCCTCAACCTCCTGGGCTCAGGCCATCCACCTGAGATTCCCAACTAGCTACAACTACAGGCATGCACCACCACACCTGGCTAATTTTTATGTA